TATATATATATATATATATATATATATATATTACTGTGTTTTGCTGTTTGAAGTCGAATTTTAAATCAGTTATTTTACTAACGGAGCAATCAAAGTCCAAGCTATACTAAATGGAAACTGAAATCCAGGTCTCAATGAAAAGGTCTTCCACACGTCATACTAAAGCTTAAGTATTACGGCCGTGTTCACTTTTAGTTAATATATTTTATAGGTGGATGCAATTATATCTGTGTGATTGAAATAATCACCAATAATAATATACTTTCATGTTATGTATGTATTGCTTTGTATTTCATTTTCATTTTTCTTTTTAATTTTGATCATTGCATTTCCAATGAGAAACTCTCGGTTGGATTTCTTCTTGGTGACAACCATACAGTTTATTTTTACTCCATTTTCTCTTAAACTTCATCCTTGCTCACACCTTCATGCGTTCTTTTGTATAAGAACATTTCCATAGCAACGTTTTCATTCTTTATCTCTGCTGAGACTTAGAGCAAAATAGAATCACTGATATCATAACATTGCTGTGTTCTTTTCTTTTTATCTAATTAAATTCTCCTGACTCAACACACTTTATCTGCGAAGAGATTATCCATTATTAATTGCTATTAAGGAGGAGTGGTATTATATCACATAACAATTCAACAATCATTTACTGGTTCCTTTTTATTTTGCTTAGCATTTGTAAGGCAGCATATGCTATAGAATGCAACTTCGGATTTCAGTGTCGCTTCTCCATCAGCTGGTAAAACACTTTCTAGATATTACTTTGTTGTACGTGTTTGATTTTCGTATTACTTGTTTGTAATTTTTATATAGGTGTGTTTCTTTAGCTGACAAACGTGATTTCTCTCTTCTTGCAATTGATGTTTAGTTCTTTTTTCTTACTCTCATTCATAAATTTCTGCAGGAATTAATGCGCGTTTCCTGCCTGTGTCTGCTACAAACAGCGTGCCATCTAAATATATTATATTTTTAAGTTTGTGGCCACAAATAATGATTCCTTGCTGTTCCTGTAGTATTTCCAACGGTTCTTTGTGGCATATCTTATCAAAGGATTTTGCATAAGCTATTAGGTTGGTGCAAAATAATGACGTAATGATGTCGTTTTTTGACGTTAAAAAATATGTAAAAAAACGACATTGTTACGTCATTATTTTTGCACCAACCTAATATAAAACAGGTACGCATTTTTCTGCATTTGTACTGCATTTCCTGATATAATTTTGCCTATGAATGTCACATTGTGTACTCCTGTGTCTTTAAAAAAGCACTGTTTTTATTCTATTACCCGTTTAATAAGGCTGTGCGCTCTATTTATTATAATTTGGATAACGGATTTTATTATATGGCGCATTAGACTGATTTTCTGATGGAGTTCTCATTCTTTTGCACATATTTTCTTAGATATTGCTATTAATATGATCTAATTTTGTCTTCCGTTATATAATCACTGTTGTATATAATATAAACTACTAATTAATTTAAATAAACATTTGGTAGGAAAATAACAAAGGGATTTGTTAATACTTAAATTATCGCCCAAAAAACAAGAAGTTGTTGTGAGCTATGTTCGTCGGGCTGTGAATGTTCGTCTCATATAAATACTATGTTTAATGCTGATGAAATCCATTCGTTTTCTGATAAGTTTAAGCATTCGATATATAAATTCAGACATGAGCTGTGAGATTATAATATGGTCATGCAGAACGTCGTCTTGTGTGACTCTCCATAAATTAAATAAATCTTAATTAATTGCGAATTTTTTACTTTAACAAGTAAAACTTCCATTATATTCTGTGAGTGCAGGTTTATATTTCAACTAGACTGATGCCATTTAGGATGCGAGTAACGAGTTTACCCTACAATTTACCACTTATAGACAAAAGATCATTAGTGTGAAAGTTAATGAAATTAAAACTTTCCAGTTACAGGACATGTGATTTCATTTAAATTATTTATATGCAGTCTACTGCTTTCATCTTTGTTGTTATTATTAAAAAATGTCGGATGTCATGATCTCTAATATAGAATTAAGGGAATTTCGAACCGAACAATTAAGTTATCTTGTTCTACTTCACATGTCTAGACATATTTATTTTTAGTACTTCTTCCTTGGTATAACTATAAACTAAAATAGCGTCCTGGTTAAGACGATAAACAACGTCCAACAGCAAGGCCTCTGATCAGGAGGTTTTGAGGAGTGTGTTACTAGCTCTTAATTGCTGATGACCCCAGGTTCACCTTGACCCGGGTTGGTAGCACCTATTAGGGTTCCAGCTATGAGCAAATAGTTAACCCCGAATCTGGAGTGAAAACACAATGAAAGTGTAAAAATAGGTTTTAATACTAGAAACTCTTTGTAAAAGAATATTACCAGCAATATATTTTTGAAGAAAAAATATTACCAGCAATGCATTTTTGAAAAAAAAATATTACCAGTAATAAATTTTTGAAAAAAAATATTACCAACAATATGTTTTTGAAGAAAAATATTACTAGCAATACATTTTCGAAAACAAATATTACCAGCTGTATATTTTGGAGGAAAATAATATTAACAACAATACTTTTTAAAAATCATTATTACCAACACTGTATTTTGAAGGAAAAAATATTACCAGAAATAGATTTTTGACAAAAAATATTTCCAGCAATAAAAATTTTGTCGGCATTAAGTAACCAATTGACGTTGATACGCCGTAAAACAAAACAAACGAAATCAAGTCAATCATTCAGTACTTTATTTGTATAGTTTAGTTATTATTAACCTCATTTCCACTGTGTTCAAATACACTTACCGTCATTGAGATTCAACTCACAATTACTGTCAGTAATTTCAAGAAACAACATATTTATCCACCATTCTACTGGGACAATCATGAGTTAATAACTTGGAGACGTATTTCTAACATAGCTGCTGAGAAGTGTTGGGGATGCCATGCTTGACTGCACACACTAAAACTTCTCTTTTCGAATCAAACCGATTCTACTAGTAATGCCACACTCTTAATAATCTTTATTTATATATTAACGGCTCAAATGTTGTAAAATGCTACGGATGTGACTGATAGCAAATGTCAGATAACCAATCATAAACTTTCATTGTGTGATATCTGGTGACAGTGAGATAATGATTAAGTACTCTAAAGACATTTTTCTCCTTTTTAATTTATATTGCTTCTATATAATAGCGAATAGATATAAATGAATTTAGGACATATTAATTACAATCCTGCATAAAAAGGCTTTCATTTTAGTTGTGCTGAAATTGTCAAAATCGATTTAACTCATTACATTATCCATTTATATATTAAATATTCTATGTTGAATCATTGTTATATCGTATCGCTGAAGAAATAGACATTTCTCACTTGGACCGGAGTTACGAACAGGAAATGCTGAATAACCGCTGTCTTTTAATTTAAAAATATTTTAAAAACCTTGGAGGATTTATACTACGTGTAAGAGCAAAATTGTTTAAATCCTGTCACAGCTTGTGATAATTTAGCATATCACAAAACTTTTAATGTGTAAAATATTACAAAACATATTGAGTTTATTTATTTCCAGATAATTCAGATAAGACTCTTAACCTTCTTGTCACCATTTAACGTAATAATCACTAAAGAACCCATTGATATACTCAGCTAGAAATAGAACTGTTTAAAATCGTTTTGTGTCAGCACACTCTCTCCCCGACTGGATAATGGTGAGAACAACAAATTCATTCTGGCATTCAGTAATGGTATCAACATTCATACTCTGGCTTCCATATTCAATATTCGGTCAAGAACCATCAAGAGAAGAGTGAATATGTTTAACAAAGGGAATAGTAGTAAGGAAATCTTCTCAGGAGATAAAAACACCTAGAGAGATCATCATTTCAGCTTACAATTAAATACATTCTTCTCATTCAAATTTGAGTCCAATAGTGTTATAAGAACCTCGGCGAATTCAAGTTAGGTATCTTTAATTTATAACTGTTCAATGTTTAATCTAACAATTGAACAATGTTGCTGTTACACGATTTGGAAAATTGTGCTGTTACAGCCGGTATATGGGTAACCGCCAGGGGGTAAGTTTTGCCTCGTATGTCGTTGTTATATTCGGAAAAACAGAAAAAAAATAATTTGCTCTCTCCCTCTCTTTCAACCTATACCACATAACACCCTTGAGCGCTTAGCCTTGGAGCGGGTAGAATGGAGATCAACGTGTTTAGTGGACTCAGCAATTCTCAATCTGCTTGTCTAAATCATCTTCAAGAAGCGAAAGCAATATCTAAAAGGTCAACCAATCTAACAGTGATCTCATCTCACAATCCTCACACTTGCTCCATATGTGGCCTCATTTGTAAATCACGAGCTTTTCTTAAATGACACTTAAGATAACATGTCAGATCCTTATACGTCGAAACCGACGGGAGAGTTCATTAATATTCTTCTTCGTCTTCTTCTTCTTCTTCTTCTTATTATTATTATTATTATTATTACAGTGTAACCTGAATATAAGAGACCCGGATATAAGAGAAACCGGGATATAAGAGATATTTTCTCTGGTCCCAAATTAGAACATATGTTAATGTATATAAATTAGACCCGGATATAAGAGACCCATATATAAGAGAAACCCGGATATAAGAGAGATTTTCTCTGGTCCCGTCCTCCCCGATATAAGAGACTTCGTTTTGAGTGACAGTGTGATGTCGTAAATCGGTCAAACAGAGGTCATTTAGAGAGAGAATGAATTCAATGACTTAATCTTGACTAGTCTAGAGACACGGTGTGTCCAATCTGTGTCTGTAAGAGACACCCTCTACCTTATGATTTTGCTTTGTGTGTCTAAGAGTAGCGCCGCCCGTTTTTTGCCGACTTTGCTAGTCGTTGCATTTACTGGACAGCACTTTCACTTTACTCACTGTTCTGTTGAATCAGAAGTTTGTCTGTTTGTTAATTTTGCCACTGAAAACCGTTTGCTTGTGATCATTGCGATTAGTGATGTCGGCGTCTCAACGAAAAACTCTGAACATTTCTGAACATTTGGAGCTCATCGACGATGTCAAAGTGAAGAAACTTAAACTGGCCGCTGCAGCCAAAAAGTACGGAATCGGTTATTCAACTGCAGCAAATATTCTCAAGAAAGAAGACGATCTCAGATCTTGCATGCAAATGAACGGCCACACTAATCGCAAACGAAAGCGCCAATCCGTGCACAAGGACGTTAACGAAGCGCTTACACAATGGTTTACGCAAGCATGTGCTCATAGAGCTACCGTCACCGATCACGTCATCAGGCAGAAAGCATCACAACTGGCCGTAAATCTTGAAGTAGATTTTGAACCGAGCAATGGCTGGCTCATGCGCTGGAAGCAGGCCAATAACTTTTCGTTCAAAAAATTTCACGGCGAATCAACGTCAGCAGGTCATGGTTCTGCCAACGAATGGGTGACAAAAGTTTTGCCGCAACTTTTTCGTGGATATGATCCAAAAGATATTTGGAACTGTGATGAAACGGGAATTTTCTACAAAGCCATGCCGCCTGCATCTTTGCGATTTGCCGGCGACGAACAGCCAAATGGGACAAAAGTTCCCAAAGACAGACTCACGATGCTTCAGTTCACAAACATGGACGGTTGTGAAAAGCAAACTGTAGTTGTTGGTAAGTCGGCAAATCCACGGCAAACAGATTTTGACGAATTTATCAGCTTCGACGACCGTACACAATGTTATGGAGAACTGACTGACACGAACATCACACGTGGTATAAAATCGGATGATCAAGATTTTGACGAAGATGATGATGCTGAAAGCGTAAGTTCTGAAGTTTCTGAAAGTGACAAACCAGTGCCAAATTCTCTGGCTGCATTGAATGCGCTTGAAACTCTGACAGCCTACTTTGTTTTTAAAAAGCAGTAATCCTGATGGCGCATTGAAAATGATTTACGGACTGTATGAAAGTATTCATGATGTTGGCAAAAAGATTTCTGTACAATCAAAATGACTAAATTTTAAGAAAAAGTAATTTTTGATTGAATTATTTTGAAAACTGATAGAAAATGTATTTTTGTATGTGTTTTTTATGTCTATAACTGTTAAATAAACTAGTGTTCTGTACGTAAAAAGCGTTATATGAAGCATTCCCATGCTTACCTAAACAAAATAGACCAAACCCGGATATAAGAGAAACCCGGACATAAGAAATTTCTTCTCCGGTTCCGACAACTCTCTTATATCCGGGTTGCACTGTATATCAAAGTGTTCTAATAAAAATAAAATATAAAAATCCAACAATGGGAATGTTTTCGATTTAGAAACAAATGCAGGAATATTGAATGTTTAATAGAACCAGTTCAACCAAATCGAGAATGACTTAAACTGCGACTGAAAATTTGTCTTTGATACATAATGTTTAAACGAGGCATTGCAAATTTTATATAAGATTTTACATAACGGGTAAAGGACATATCAAGCCAATAGTAAAAGCCTTTTAGGAAATTCGTAAGTTATTCACTCAGAATATTTAGTCGATTAAACAAAGAATTATTGGTCAATAAATGGGAAAGCCAAGAATATTAGTAACCACAAGAATACGGATGGTATCAGCGCGTAATCATCTCTTTTGGATGCATTTAGTGTAATAGACAGCGGGTCGCAATGTTATGCCCGAATTCAAGCCAAATTCGTTACATTGACTTACGGGTAAATCATCTTAGGGAATGTTATGAGTTGATCTCTTCTTCCTTCAACTATGGGTTAAATAGAATATCATACTGTTTTATACAGAATTCGTTGGCAGCTATTTTGGTAAAAAGTGACTCGATAAGATAACTTATCTCAAAAGTAGCCTAGACCCCTTTGTCGGGGATGCATCGCTCCATGAAAACGATCAGTGATTGAAATTATTCAATCATCTGAGTTGCTCATTCTGCCATAAGCGGAGAAAGTGATAACTTTTAAAACTTCTCTTTGCGTATTGTACAAATTGCTATCAGGCTGTAACTAGCAGGATAATCAATGTTTGTCTGAGTGTTTAATAGATAATAGCTTGGACTGCGAAATCGAAGATCCATGTTCGATTTACAGGAATTTTCGCTGCATTCTCGTACGCTCAAAGACTCTTGTAAATCCATCTGTTCCCCTCCAACCGTAGGTTAAATTGTAGTATTCCCATATGGAATAAACATTATTATTCATGAAAACAAATGGCAATGCCTAAATCGTTCGCCAAAAGAAAATATTATTCTTACAATCCAAAATCGTCTGCGGCTTTCTTGAGATCCTTGATAAACATTTTTTATTATGCGTAAACGAGAGGGCATAATATATCTTTGGAAAATCAAATTATATTTTTCATGTTTCAACTGAAAGAAGTCTTACCCTCTCCTCCACCCAGACAATTAGGGTTCATACACTTTGCTTACAAATCACCATTCATTCTACCCTTGTCGTGCTTCTCACCTACAGTCACTTCTTGCCAACAAATTTGAAATTTAGACAGGTTTCTTCACAATAAATTTTGTACATTTTTATAATTTTTTCCATATTAATCTTTTCTGCTTATTCACCTTCATGGATAACCACCCCTTGAGGTACGCTAATCTAAGTAAATTTTTCACAGATGAGTTGGTCACTAATTGCTGTAGAGATGAATTAAGTTCAACTTTTAACTTCAGGAGCAGTAATCCTTATATTTATTTCACTTTTAGTAATCAAATTTTGATCATCAGCAACAGCTGTCGCATTTGGTTTTCCATCACATTTTCGGTCAACATTTGCAGCAGATTATAATTGACTTTTAACGAATGTGGCACCTCATTTTTAGAAATATTCAAATTTTTCAAATTTGTATTTGAGAGTACGCTTTCTGAAAAAAAATTATACATGCAAAACCCCACAATGCATAGCAACTTTCATTTTCAAATATCTTCGATTTTTTTTTCAAAATTAAATATTAAGTAAAAATGATGAAAATACAGTTGTAATGACACTACCTCTTTTTATATTCAAGCCGAAACAGTTACACATGTTTTATTTAAAACATTTTTCTTTGCTTAGTTAACATTTAGAATCTGTATTTTAAGTGAGTTGAAAACAGTGGTAATCAGAAAAAAGTATGTTTAGGGGTTCATTTTTAAAACAAAATATGTTTATCATACAAAATATTAAATATTTATCAAAATGTATTGTTGTTAGATCCAAATTTGAACTGTTCAGCTCTCAAAAATGTTTAATGTCTAAAAAACACAATATATCGTAAGAATCAATGAAAAGTATTTTGAGTTATTCTGCTAGAAAGAAAAATGGTTAACATCGTTTTGAGCCATCCACACTTTCTTAATGTGCAATGGTGAGATGAAAAGGATCAGTCATGCTTTTAGTAATGGTATTAATACTGATACTCTGTCTTCAATGTACATTCAAGATCCGTGAACATAACGGTGAATAAGTTTGAATAAGAGTGAAATGTAGAGAGGAAATCTGGATCAGGAGATCACAACAGCAAAAGGGATCAACATTTCAACTTAAAAAGATCAATTAAAAAAGATTCAACTCAATCCAGAAGATGTTTGGCAAGAGAGAAAGTGAGATAGAGGAGGGAGGTTGAGCTATGACAGTCGAAAAAGTTTTGAAAAAAAGACTTAAAAATGAAATCTTACGTGAAAAATTTGAGGCACAGTGTTATACCAGTATAGAAAGTTAGAAATTTACAGAGGTCGAAAATCATCTTGAATATATTGCAAAGTGATCCTGAAATAACATATACGAATTTGACTTTTATTTTAATCATTTATGAGCTTCCGATCCTAAGTAATCATTAATTAATTATGAACATGTTATTTGCCTTTATGTACGAATTCATCATGATGCTTTTGTTAAGCTTGGAGAGTAAGTATACATTTGTATTACTCAAAGTAATAAATTATAAGTCATATTATGTATGATACGACGGTCCAGAGAATAATCTAACTAATGGCCAATTTTACTTTTACAGGATTTGGATAATTCTTCTGTTACACACACACACACACACACACACACACACACACATATATATATATATATATATATATATATATATATATATATATATATATGTAGTGAGAGAGAGAGACGGAGATAGATTTTATATATAGAGAAAAAATATAATGTATGTGATATATATATATATATATATATATATAGAGAGAGAGAGAGAGAGAGAGAGAGAGTGAGAAATAATCAGAGAGAGAGGGGGTGCAGAGAGGTCTATCATAACTCACCAGTCTGCAAACTTCTTGATTATTATGGGTCCGTCAGAGTTGAACGAAAGACCGACAAAACTAATTGTAACAGCAAAGATGTATTGAAGGCAAGGATTATGGCAGCATTCGCCAACTTAAACAAGGAGACGATCCAGATTAAATGCAAAAGCACCCGAAGTCGTCTGGAGGCTGTTGCTGAAACCAATGAAAATTTTATTGAATGAATTTACTCTTTAGTATTTCAAGATAATTTTGTGCAATTTTGTTAAATATATCTTTTTAAATGAGATGATCTTATCAGTTCACATTGTCTAATTGTAGATTGACTTCATATGATCTCTATAAAATCATCGATACAGTTCGCAATGGGAAGAGAAAGCTACAACAAATTCGCATTCTTTGATTTATTAGTATCTCAATAGAGATTGTCTTCCAGATATGCGTATACCGCAGCTTTCATCCGACAATGCTTCAACTGTAACTTCCACCACTCATAGTTTGGAAAGAAAAGGATAGTCTCTTCCTTACACTAATGAGCAAAAGACTAAGTGGAGAACCAGAGATATATGAACAAGAAATGGTCAGTATAAGCAATAACCTACAACTTATAACTACCCTAGGTACATAACAGCAGCTCCGATAAACTGGGATAGATAGCTACAAGATGATAACAGCACACAGCAAACAGCTTCATGTGACGGGACTATCGGAGGAAATACAAAAACATCTGATCCAAATAACATCAGAAAGAACTTCAAAAGTTGTTCGGCATTTTGCCAACACCAAGACATCCCCAAAGAGTAGAACATGACTAAGGACTGTGTGTACGCCATCCTGTGCAATGGTGGTAAGGAAAATAAGAAGGAAACAGACCGCCACTTAAGGTAGGACTGTGAGAATATCGCAAAGCCATAACACGAGGAGAAATAGAAAAATCAGGTGTAGCTGAAAAGATAAGGAGGGAAAACGGTGATCACTTCCACCTGTGGGATGAAACTGAAATAATAGGTAGAGAATATCACAAATATACGAAAACGTAAGAAATCAGCACATAGGCTAGGACACAAAAATCTCCAAACAGGCCAAGCCTAGAAATGAATACAATATGGGAACCAGTAATACGGATTTATTTAGTAAAGCAATTATAAGAAAAAGAATTGTAATATGAGTGATATGACACAAAGTATTGTGAGTTCAGTACCTGGTAACTGTAGTGTTGAACAAAGATTTGCAGAATTATGTTAAAGGGAGATAGCTGGGACATCCGGAAAAGGCATGGCACGTGAAACTAGAAAAATCTACCACGGTAGACGTTTCAGTTCGAAGTTCCAATATCCAGAAGATAGCCGGAGAGCATACATCGGCCAAAACGTCGTGAATATGATAATAAACATGAGGACAACAGTCACACCTACATAAATAATAAAAATAGATATTTGTTTGTGCGTAAATATATATATATATATATATATATATATATATATATATATATTCAGACACATCTCTATCTATCTATCTATCTATCTATCTATCTATCTATCTATCCCTTTTCCTGTTTCCTTGTGAGCTATAATCTCCAGCTATTCAAGTGTAATGTCAATCGACATCTCCAGTTGCCTTGATCTATCCACTAAACTCATCCTTTCATCTATCACTCGTATCTGATCTTGCTCTAAATTTTCTGTAACCCCTTGCGTCCTAGTGGCTTCCCGCCTTGCTTGGGGTGAAATGCTTAATATATATATATATATATATATATATATATATATATATATATATATATATATATACACACATGGAGCCTGTTTCAATGAAATCGGGACTCTATTTAACGAAAAATTAAAATAATACTTTTTCTTTATTAATGAATAATTTTTAAAAAAATACAATAATATCTCATATATATATCATTGTTTTAACGTTCTGAAAGATTAATTATTTAATTTCTACAATATTATATTAGTATTATTAAGCCCGTGAAAAAATCGCCCATACTGACAGAAAGATCAATGGTTTACTTTATTACCTTATTTCACACGCGCTCATGTTGGCTGTATAGGAATTGTATCTATTTTCTCGTGTATACATTAAATGTCACAAGCATATACATCACTCATGCATAACGCATACGTAAGCATATATGGTACATACCTGAATATACAGTCAACATATGTCGGTGTGTCCATGAGGATCAGCCCTTCCTTTACAATATAAATTCCCTTGAAAGCATATTACCTTTGAGATTTCACAGCTAGGACAAGGAGGATTTACTGCATATTTCGAAAATCACTGAAGTAAACCTTTCTTATTTTGAAAATTCTTACGTAAAATTATATATAATATGAGATATAGATATGTCAAAGCACCATATACATCTATTCGTCATACTCAAAAGCACTCGTAAATGCTAACTAACGAACAGGTTAAGTAATTAAATCTTATATAAAATAACACCTTCTATATGGGAGTGAATGCTAGTCTACCTCAGAGAGGAAAAAAACAGGAAGGTAATTCTACCCAACAGAAATATGATTTTACAGAATGATAGACTTAATAAGTGAGCAAGGACGAAATTTAAGAGAAAGTGTATATCAAGATGACACATATGCTTAATATGAGAAAAAGGACAGCTGGATTTCTAGTGCACCTGATTAGGCAAGTGGGCTTGAAAAAGTTCATACTCACAGGATATATTGAAGGAAAAGGGGATAGAGGAAAACAACGGATAATCTACTTAGCGACCTTGCTTAAGAAGATCGTAGAAAAGGTTTAGCATTGTTAACAATAAGGCATAATCTACTACGAGCTACAAAGGACAATAGATTGTGAAGGATGATGGGGCTCAGAAGAAGAACAATATGCATGCATATATGAATGTTCCTATAATAGAAAATGACGGTATCACCGGAGAATTATTCAGTTCCGTTAGATCTGATATAGTCTTGATTATTGTGTTATTCGAAAGACGTCAAAGAAATCCCAGTGAAATTGCCTCCGGTTGCGCACATCTGTAACTTGTCTGTGAAAGCTTAAATCGAATATGAAAGTCAATATTTTCGCTTATTCTGATCGAGCGTTTAAATTTGCATAAACACACAAGAAAATTGCTACGTACGTGGTGGACAGCCTAATGACGATCATGCGAAATTCAAGTGAAGATTCAATTGCGCACAATGCAATAAGCATTCGCCCTGGATAATAAGATTATTTTCGTAATTTAGCAGAACATTTTAGGAAAGACAATTGTTAAATTTTTCTGGGACCACATTTGAATGAATAAAGAAAGGAATATGAGTCAATGTTGCGTGAAAGAGACATTAATATAAGTAAATGTAGGTCATTACTAGCACAAATAAACGAAAAATATTTTGAGAAATCTGAGTGTAATCTGAACGTAGATTTAATTGTATAAATATTCTAGTATATGAAAGTAAATATTTTCACAAAGCTGCAAAAGGAAGATATTTTTACAATTCAGCATATATAATTAAACATGGACGCAGACGCAAACATAAACACACAGACAATGAAACACACATACACACACACACACACACACACACACACACACACACACACACATATATATATATATATATATATATATATATATATATATATATATATATATATATATATATATATAAAGTAGGCAAAGTATTAGAATAATACCCCATTCGATGACAAGTGTTTCTATTCACGTAACTTCAGGTTGTCGAAACAATTTATTTGTTTAAATTAATGATTTGATAACATATGTCGGAACAACACCGTGCATAATATATATATATATATATATATATATATATATATATATATATATATATATATAATATAAGAAGAAGAACTTCAATAAATATTTCGGTCAAAATTTATATAATTTATTTCAAGAATATCTATATATTCAACCCTTCAGACCGAAAACTTTAGTAAATGGAGACAAAATAGGACCACACATTATATCATCGCTCGCAGTTGAACTCATTATTGAATCAAATATGCCAAACAAGTCAATCGGTCATTTCTCATTGTATGTTAACCAGAAATCATTTGATATGTCTATTAATACCGCCCAACCGCACTAGATTCACTTGTAGTGATAGAAGCAGTAATCGTCTCCATTTTGTTGAGAAAGTTACAGGGGTCACATGACAGTCGGTGAATGACGTCAGGGGATAGATTGACGAAGGGCAGTTGCGTTGTATGGCCCAGGGAAGAAGAATGTCCCTAGATCACAGTGGTATTTTCTTACAGGAAAAACTACATGGCCTAACATGTTTAATAGCTAAAACATCGTAACTACTGTTTTCTCTGAGGAAAAGTTTACCCCTGACGTCATAAACCGGTCGTTATTTGACCGTGGTCACTATCACAACGAACATAGATAATCGCAGTTTGTATCACGACAGAGTGAACGCTAAGTAATCTCATCGTCAATGAAGAAGAGATATGAGGATATCAGAAATATGGTTCTACAGAAGTCTGCTAACTTGTGAGCAACGATGAAGTTTGAGAAAAAAAACAGTAAAAGGTCACTTATATTAACATCAGGAAGAGATAGTAACATTTTCTGGGGCGCATACTAAGAAAAGAAAGGCCTGGAAAATTTGACACACATGTGACAAATTGAATACAAGAGGGACAGATGAAAACAGCGAATAACCTCCCTAAGGAGGCTGCTGTAAATCTTTGACAAAATAGGTCAAGAAGAGTAGCAGAAAGACACATTCTACTAAGACCAGAGCTATGATCACCCACATCCTGAATGGACCTGACATGAATACGGTTTCAGTAGCGATATTAATAACCTTCCAAACAAACGTACGACTCATTTGTTGTGCTTTTGTTGGAACCTTAGCAAGATTACTGAGTAGAATAATCACACAATACTTAAGACAAGAACAACACATATAAGATTCGACAGCGGCGCGTAGAAATACTAGTCAACTGCTAGAAGGGAGTCAGGTGAATTCCACTATGAATCTTCAACTCCAGATCAGCATACAGTATATACTAATGTATTTATATGAATGGAGACATACACATTATTGTCCATTGGTATGCTACAAAAGCTTTTCAGCGGAATATTTTTCAATTATTGTACCCTAGGCAAGGCATGTAGTTGAAAATGAAAGAGAAGACTGAGGAAGGATTGAGGAAGGGGAACATTTTGAAAGGAATTCAAGAAGACCGAATATGGAGTTTGACGCTGCATTTAAAATTTTGAAGTTTTAGTTACAAGTCGTCGGATATTCCACAAGGAGGAAGTGCAAGAAAAGAAACTGTTGGATTAGAAGTGGCGGTTGAATTTAACTATATCAACAAATCTAGCAGGGAGCTTGAATTCATGGAGACGGGATACCATCGAATGAAGCACGTCGGACCCAGTTCCTATCAAAATATTTCTAGAAAAGACAGAGGAAAGCCACGTTACATCGGTGAGAAAGTGACAGACTTCGAGATGCCTAGCTAGCCATAATCGATAACAGATACTTCTTTGGATTTTGTTAACAAACTCGAGATTTATAGAAAGAATATCAGACCAGATAAGAAACATCTTTTTTTTTTATCATAGAAAAATGTTCGTATCATTACGTATGTTAAAGAATATTTTTTTCAAACACGCTCAGCTCAATGTGGCCGTTTTCATATTGATGTTATTGTGTGGTGACTATTTCCATTTTATTATGAGTGTTTCTGTTACTTTTTGTCTATTTTACTTGTTTATGAGTTTCTTAAATTGGATTTTCTAAAAGTATATTTTGGATGAAGTTTATTAGGTTCCTATAACACAAGATACATACAAAAAAATCCATTCATTCGTTTAAAAATAAGAATAAAATTATCCTTCATAATGGTTAAAATAATAGCCAAAACCCTTCGGATATATAGAACATTTGGACAATTATTTTAACACGCTATACCCAGAAAAGTAAACATTAATATACCCCAACGAAGAATTTCAGAAAAAAACAGTCAGACCTGTTTCACCCCTGAATGAACTGCAGTCATAACTCACCTGTATCGCTATTTCAATGTCTATCACATGGAGCGATGTAATCTACTCCTTACTTCTTACAGAACTCCCCGCAATCGATGCAAGAAAATTCTGGAAAAAGCAAATGGCAGCTCCGCATAAGCTTTTCAGTGCAGTGTTGAAAAGAAACAAATTGAATCAGAAGAATTCTGGAAGATCAGTAACCAAATTATGAAGCAAGGCAAGGCGGCTGTGTCAGCTATTATAAATGGCCCCGAGATCATATCCTTCTAGATTGACAAGGCAAAGTTCTTCGGATCGGTCGCTGCCTCAAGCACAACGTCAGATAAGAAAGGTCGACCCCTCCACAAATTCCAACGTCTCACCGAGCACAATCTTATAATACACACATTTCAGGAAGAGAAGTCTCCAGACTTATCAAATGACGCGACCACCAAACAGCCAATGACCCAAATAAAATTCCATTGGCCAGCTTTAATAATATCAACCCAGAACTATCCACGATCCTAGCAATGTTATTTAACCGCTGTTTGGATTTCGATCAGCACGATCCAATGTTGAAGTGATACGTACCA